ATTTGTACTGTTTGTCACGATTTACCTGCAAAATTAAATTAATTTAGGAACCCAAACCATCTTTGGCCCTCGTGAGATTTTGAATTTAAAATTAACATCAAGAAAAATCTTGGTTTTTTCAATGCAAAATGATTTCTCAATTGAAACATTATTCACATTCTTCACAATTTTATAAACTTGGGTTTTTGTATCACAAAGATTTATAAGTGATGTTTTTCTCTGAATAAATGCTTTTGTTTATGGAATTAAGCTTCTTAAAATTTTCTTTTATTCTTTCTTTTGTTTTGACAAATCGTTCTTTAAAACAACATTTGGATTTGAAACACCATTCTTTTGAACAAATGATTGTTTTGAATCAATTTTCTTTGAAAAAGTGTTTGGCTTCTTAACAATTATGTTTAATTTAACACTTTCTTGAATAAAAAGAGTTTGGACCAAAATAAGATTTTGTTTTTGCTACTTATTTTGAAAAAAAATTCTGATTAAGAGACCTTGATGGATTGTTAGAATTTTGATTTTGAACATGAGATGACGAACAAGAACAAGAACAAGTAACAATGTGAGATTTAACAGAATTTGTTGTCTCATTCTTTTGTTTCCAAAATTTATTCCTTTCTTTCAAATTCGTTTTGAATCTCGCTTTCCTCTCTTTAATCTTTTCTTTTTCTTTCCTTATTGTTGTGATCAAATAGAGTTTTTATCTTTGACTTTCCATTCCAATCATTCATCACATAATTTTTCTTTGAAATGGATTTGACATCTTGAACCTCAGAATTTTCTACAAAACTTTGTTCAACAGAAATTACATTCAATGGTTCTAAAATGTATCTACCTTTTACTCTCAATGATGTTTTCTCAGAAAGTCCTATTGTGTCCTCACTATTATTTATAGGTTCATACCAAACATGAGTCTCACAAGAAGCATCATTATCAGTTTTCACTATAGAAGTCAAGTCATTAGCGATCGATTTGTCCAGTCCTTTCATAACAAACACTTGATTTCGGGTACTTTGGACTTTTGGAAAAACAACAACCTTTTCTTTTAACTTTTTGATACCATCATTCACAACAAATTGTTCAAAGTCAACTGAATCTTCTAAAATCAAATTCTTTTTTGGTTTATCATTAGATATCACATAAGAAGAACAATCAACCTCATCTTCAACAGATATTTCACTTATTACACTTTCATCATAATCAAAATTGATTTCACCATTAGGACATTCTTCTGAATTAAAATTCTTGCACAATCCATCATATTTTTCAATTGAGTTCCTTTTAATTTGATGCTTATCATCTTCAACCAACACATTTTTCATCATTTCCTTTATGTTCTTAATTAGATTCCAAAAATTCTTCATCCTTTTCTAGACCAACCCTATAAGCATCACATAAGGATTCATCATAATAGATTAAAGATTCACATTAATAACATACAATATCTATTTCATCGTGCTTGAATTCTAAAAATGGAAGCACTTTTTTGTGCTTATCTTTAGCAGTTTCGCAGTTTATATATAACTGAGTAATGTATCTATAATGACGTTTAGCAATCAGACAGAAAATGTTTCTCTGTTTCATTAGAGTTTTATTATCATTGTTTAAGATACAACTATCATCTTTAGATCTCCTAATATCTAGGTCCAACTTCTCTATTTTAACTCTTCCCTCATCATTCTTAAAAATGACACCTACAAAGATTATCATTAAGATTAGATGCTTTCAATTTATTCCAACTTAGACATTCACTTAATTTAGAGATACTTCTTGCAATTCGTGGTGAGATACTGATGTTTCTTCAAGAATACCAACCAGATCTCCAACAAAGATTCCCATATCAGCTTTGAAATCTTCCTTTAATTTATCAAACTTTCCCCTGAGCATCACCGAAATCTCCTCCATACTCCTAAATTCACAAGATTTCTAGAAAGGTAGAGGCCTTACTCCTTTGGCACTGAGCTCGTGAGAGAAACTTTTAACACAAAATTACTTTTATTTACCACATAGCGTAATAACTAACATTATTATAGTTTTGGTGCCATGTATACTTTGACCAAAAATTGAATAAAAGTGGTCAGTAGATAATAATCAAATAAAATAATTTTTTTAACCATTTACATATAATAATTTTAGTTTTTTTTTATATATATTTTTAATATAATTGTTAGATCAGAAAAAAAAAGTTCGTCTATATTTATTGGTTAGTGGGCAAAAATTAGCCATAAATATATAATAAAATGATTGTAATAGACACGAAAATAATAAAATTCTTTTTATGAGCATTCACTTATAATAGGTTGATGAATGGAATTTT